TGTACCACTTGTCATATGTTGTTCAAGATATGAAGCATATGCTTTTGATGTATTTTCTAATCCTTGTGGTCTTAAACCTCCAAGATTAATTGAAACTGATCCATCAGATAAAAATGTTTGATACATTTGACCAGTACCTGGTCCAGTTATATGAATATCCATTTGACGTAAAATTTTCAATTGAGCAATAAAATCATTCTCAATTAATTCATATGTTGGTGATCGAGAATCACTTAGTGTTGCATTGATTTGCGTTAAATTCATATTTTGTGCTTTAACTTGATTATAATAAAGATATGAAACATGAATTAATGGCCATTCTAATTTACTTGTATTTATCTGAGAATTAGTATAATTGTTTATTTCATTAATTGCATTGTTAATTTCTTTTCGATCATTTGCTGTAAAACGTTTATTATGAATAACATATGCTTGAAGAATATCATGAGATGTTCGATATTCCGATGAAGATTTTCGTCGAATAAGTGAATGAATAAAACCATGTTGTTGATACATTCGATCACGAAAAAGTCTTGAAGCATTTAATTCAACACCACCAGGTAATTGTAGATTAGGTTGCGTACAACGTTGACAAAAAGTTCCACTACCCATTATAATTTCATCAAATATAAACCATCGTCCTTTTGAAAGTTTATTTAAAACAGATTGTTTAATAATTCCAAGACCACCAAAACGACCATAAACATCTTCACTCCAACATCCATTACATTCATCTATACCGGCAAGAATACGAAATGGATAAAGATGTCTAGGAGAAAATCGAATTAATGCAACATAAGCTGAATAGAGTCCATCAAAAAGTGCATGACCAATATTATGATGCCATGGTTGACCAAAATATACAGTAACATATGGAATTCTTCGTGGATTAGTTATATTACGAACAAATATTTCAAGATGAAAATATGAATCAAATTCACGTTTTTTTAATACTATAGGCCATAGATTAAATGCATCTGTTCGAATATAAAATTCAGGTATATAACTTCCTTTTATTGTTAAAATCGTAAATGTATTATCAACATAATATAGATTTTTAAACAAACATGATTGATTATATAATGGACCTAGACATTGAATTTTTGTTTCTAATGTTTTATTGGAATAAATTAGGCTTGAATAAGTAAAATATAAACTATATTTATTGGTTTCATTTGTTAATGATTCTGTAGATATTGTCAAATTTAAACTATTGATAATATTTGATATATATGAAGTTTGTATGTTATTATTTTTTATTTTTACTATGAAAAAGAACATAATAATGATAGATACGATTGTAATATAAATAAACTTTCGACGAGTAACTAGGAAATAGTCGAATAATTTCGTTTGTATTTGATTTAACATAGTTGACGGTAATCACAGAGCTAAATTAATATTCATAAAGACTTTTCTTGTCCATATAAAAAAGCTGTGAAAATCAGATTTGGGTGTGAGTTAGGGCCTGCGGAGTCAACTTTTTTTCACTCCGACTTTGAAAAACTCCGAATATCTTCGAAATATTGTTAACAAAAAAGCGACTTCTAGAAAGCTCAAAAAAGAAAAAAGATGTATCGAATAATAATTACTTACTGACTTGAGCTACTTGCACAGCACTTGTTATTCTGCCTCTTCCACGTATATTTTGCTAATGATCTTTCTCGACCAAGTGAAGAAATGTGTAAAAGACAACTGTTTCATGAGTTTTAGATAAAATTAAATGGTTTTATTATAACGACTTTGAAAGAATAGCAGACAAAGTCAATACTCAAAGCTGATAAGAACTACTCATTTTCTTTCCTAGCAGCAAGAATATAATTTATCTTGAAAGAATCTCTTGTTTGCTCGTAAGCGATAACAAAAAATATCTCATATATACATTAGGATAAAATTTCTTAAATAAATCGTATAAGATTGTTTTTCAACTGAAAAATATTTTTATATTAAAAATGATTTCAATTTTCTATAAATGTAATATTTCTTTTTTTTCTGTTGATCATTAAGTTTAATAATTTCTCTTAAATCAATTTTTTCTAACAAGCCTCTATTTCTTTTAATTGAATTGCATCAAAAAAGTTTTCACCATTAAAATTCTTGTGGCCAGTATTTATTTGGGCAATTTAAAAATCGAAGTGGGCAGTAATTAAAAATATGAATTAGCAATAATTCTTGAGCGATAAAATATTATTTTTCAGCAATTATATATTACAAAATGAATAATATAAATGCGTGATTATTTTCCTCATTTCCGTAGAAAAATTAATTTTTTTTTGCTTTGAAATTGTTCAATAAGATATTTCTTGACATATCTGCTCTGAAGAATCACAGGTTAAAAGTTGACAATAGGTTCAATGAATTGTTAGATGTCGGCA